ATTTCAGCAGCTTCCCTTTTCAGTAGTTCTGTTTGCACAAATTGATCCATCTTTTTTTGTGTTTCCTGCAGGTCTTTGAAACGCGTGCCCTCCGCCATGCCAGGACCTTGCTCTGGATACCAAATGTTAAGCCCGAGTGAAGATTTGTGATTTTTTGTTATTTTTTTTGTATTTTTATGTAATTTTGAGAAGAAGGATCATAAGGTAGAAGATGATAGATAGAGAGAGAAAGAGAGAGAGAAAGTTAGGGAGATAGAGAGAGTTTGTTGCGCCAAATTCTGCCTCATTTCACTTCTGAAACCGCATTTTACCCTAACACAAGGGTCCCACAGAATAATACTCTAGCAACTTGGGCCTAGAACAAACTCTAGCCCAATAAGAAAATAACTACAAATTAACTTATCTAACTTTGGTCCACAAACAGAAAACACATAAATGGTCCAATAGAAATATGAAAAACAGCCCAATCAATAATAATGTTAAGTCTGTCCCTCACACGCGGCCTTCCCATCCTCTTCTTCATTCTCGCATAACCCTAATTTCCCAATTCCAGATCTCACCTCGCCGTTCATCTTCAAAACTCCTCCTTTTTCCTCAAAGCCCTCGCCTTTTGCCCCAATTCCTTGGTCTTTTTTGTGTAAAGCCTCCGTCTTTGCTTTCCCGTCGGTGCAGTTCATGACAGATTGTGAAGAGAAGAAAAAGATTTTCTCTTAGAGGAGCAACGTGAAGTAGGCTGGCGTTTTTTTTTTTTATTGGGAGAGGTACAACTTACACACTTTTCTAGGGCAAAAAGAAAAAAAAAATATTACCGGAGATTTTTATATTTCTCTTGGAGTAAAAATAAGGAGTAGACTTTTGATTTTAATTTTTGCTCTTTTGTATGAAAATCTAGAATTTTAAGTAATAAAAATTCTAGCATATGCAATATATAGGTTATGTTGAGTAAAATTATCTGATAAACTAGCTGATAAGTTAGTTTAAAGCTTATTATTAATTAGCTTAAAGCTTATTATTCATTCTCGAGCTTATATAACTTATAACTTATGACTTATATAATTGAAAAGCTAGCTTATATAATAAAAGTGTTTGGTAAATTAGCTGATAAGCTAGCTGAAATAAAAATTTCAACGAGCTTATTAGAAAAGCGATACAAAAAAACTTATGAAATAAGTTCGCCCTACCAAAAAATATTTTTTTTAAATATATGAGGACTTTAGAAATGCTCCCCTACCCACGGTGGGCACATATTAATATGCCCACTGCGTAGGTGGCATGCACTCATTGGTGATGTTAATATGTTTAAGAAACTACATCACCAATGGGTGCATGCCACCTACGCGGTGGACTTATTAACATGTGTCTACCGTGGGTAGGTGAGCATTTCTCTACGAGACTTATAAGATAATTAAGTAAACAACTAGTACAATATCCATGTACAACATGAGTGTTGAGTTAAGAAATATATGATTAAAATTATTGATTGATGCTAATATCATATCTAACTCTAGAGCAAAAATAATATAAAAACAACATCACGAAGTATAATTTTCGCTATGCCAGCATCCGAAGCGTGAAAAACTATCACTTAGGCTCAACACGTTTTGAATTAATATAGAGGGATAAACTAGTTTTCGTCGTAGCCATAATTATTGTTCGATTTTTTTCCTACACTAGCGCACTGAAACCCTATTCGCACTTCGGCTTGATAGAGGCGCGAGGAAAATGACGATAATGAGATT